AGAGAGAAGTAGCCAGAGAGGGAGGAGGATTCCAGAGGCCAGTCACCCAGCTATACAGCAAGCTATAGAGTAAGAGTAAGATTTACAGAAGTAGGAGAATGGGAAAAGCCCAGAGGTAATAGTTAGACGGAATAATTTAGGCTAAGAAAAGCTGACAAGAAACAAGCCAAGCTAAAGCTGGGCATTTATAAGTAATAATAAGCCTCCATGTGTGATTTATTAGGGAGCTGTGTGGTGGGCCCCCTAAAAGAGCAAAAACAAACAATACCCTGAAACTTAAAATTGGTGGAGAAAGCATGCACATGTGTTTTGCATACACACATATACCACACATATCACACACACATTTATACAATCTCCAGACATGTTATGATAATACAAATGGGAAAACCCCAACCATGCTATCAATGCAAAATGTAAATATACTGAAAACAGATAGAAGGAAACAGGACTAGATAAACATGACTTTCTAAAATAAGCATCACCTCAGTTCCAACAATGGAAAAATATTTTATTGATTTGTCAAGAAGTATTTAAATTAAAAGCATTTTCATAAAACAGATGCAGAGACCCACAAGTGAATATTAGGCAGACCTTGGGGAATGCTGTAGAAGAGGGAGTGAAGGATTGTAGGAGCCAGAGGGGTCAAGACACCACAAGAAAACCCACAGAATCAACTAACCTGGGCTAACAGGGGTTCACAGAGACTGAACTGACAACCAGAAAGTGTGAATGGGACTGACCTAGCCCCTCTGCAAGTATGTTAGAGTTGTGTAGCTTGGTGCTCTTGTGGGACTCCTAACAGTGGGAGCAGAGATTGTCTCTGACTCTTTTGCAGGCCTTTGAGACTCTTACACTGGATTGCCTTGTCTAGCCTTCAACTTGGCATGCCATATTTGGTTGATATCCATGAAAATTCTGCCCTCCTCTGAATATAAACAGAGGAAGAGTGGATGGTGTGGGAGGCAGAGAGGAGATGGAAGAAGGAGGAATTGAGAGGAGAGAAAAGAGAGTAAAGAGCAGTTGGGTTGTAAAATAAATAAATAAATAATTTTAAAAGTATTGTCACAGAATAATATTTCTGGTTAAAATTATGTATGAAGGTATATACATATGTGAAGAAAAATCATTTGTCCTTTAAAGAAGTCTATGCTTAAGTTTGAACATGTGTCATGTGAGGAAACTCTGGGACATTGTATTATTGGGTGGGGATACAAATCACGTGACGCCTCACTGCTTTTGCACAGTATTGAAAGTTCTGGCAACAGAAACCAACACAAGAAATAAATAGATCATACATGCATTTGAAAAGGGTAGAACAAAAGGAGAAACTAAAAGGAGCAATCAAAATATTAGTGTCCAAATACAAAATAAAAATGCACTAACACGTACACCCCACAATGGCTTTCCTTGGTTCCTTTCACATGAACTGTCCAGAAACAGCTATAGGGATAGATGAAGAACACCAGTCATACAACAGAAAAACCGAAGAGTCTTGAATGAATTAGAATGCTTCCTGAATGATAGGTCTTTTGTTCTAAAAAGACCAAACATTATTAATATTATTAGTGTTTCCTCCCAAATAAGTCATAATTTTCAGTGAATATTGATCAGAGTGACAAAATAATCTTGAAAAATAATATACCAATTTAGATAAAGAAGGAAAGAAGCTGCCTAAGAACAGAGTGAATATAAGAGTATAACACTACCAGATGATATTAATAACTTTATAAAACTCAGGAATCATTGTCAAAGAAATAATTGTCAAATGGATCGATAGCATGGAGATAGGCTCATAGAAATAGCCTCTACTACAAATTACAATCCAGGATTTGACCAAGATCATGTTTTAAATCAAAAGAGAAAAAGAGTGTTTGTTAAATGCCTCTTAGGCAACTGATTATACAACTGAGAAAAAATATGTGTTAGATATCTGCCCTACCCTATACACACAGGTATGAACGAACCCACTAAGTAAAATGAAAGACAGAAAGGGAGAGATTAAGACAGAGATAGTGGGTGGGAGAACATGTGATTCTGAAATAAAAGGAAGACTTGTTAACAGTTATTTTTTTAGAAATAAGTATCAGAAATATCTACTTGTCAATGTCAATGGACATCCTTGATTTTTAAGCAAAAAGAAACATCTGAGTAGCTGTGTGTAATATGTATCAAAACTCTGAGAGGGGAGGATATAAGCAGACAACTTACAAAATAGAAAGAGAACATAAGCATTGGCAATAAACATACATTTATTATTCTTCCTTCAGAATACTACTTTCCTGTTGTTTAAAATTACCATCTCCAGTGCTAACAATGTTGCACTGGGAATGTGTACCCCCGAATATTATAAATGGGAGATTAAATGGATTCAGACTTTCTGGAGTATATTATAAAGTTTTAAAAACAACTTTCAGCAATATTTTAAAGGAAATAATTTGAAATATGCCCCAAGATATGTGTATTAGTGTTTTCACAAATGCTGTATGTCTCATTTAAATATTAACAAAGAGCAACGTTCATGCCCTGGAAACAAGGCTTTGGTTAATATATTTCCAAGATTTTAACAAAGATGCTCACAATATATTAAAATGAAAAACCTAAGTATATAACTTTACCATGAACAGCATAAATATGAGTTTAAATTTGTAAAATAAAGTATATGGCAAAGAACAGGAGAAAGCAAAGAAGGACGAGAAGGAAGGAGGAGGGAAGAAGGGAGGAAGAAAAAGAGAATATAACCTCACCAAGTGTTGTCTAAGTAGCTACGTGGTGGGAATGTAGATGTGTTGTTTCCTATTGCATCTTCCTGGGTGTTTGTTTTCTAGTTTAATGAATAAGCACTGCTTTTAATATCAGGAAAGGGTGTCACTTTAAAAATAGTCACTGTTTTCTCAGAACCCTTATTTAGGTGGAAATACTTAGATTATCCACAAATAATATCCCCCATCATTCTGCTCATGCAGATGTCTTTGTTAAGTCTCTTCATTTCAGGCATGTGGTATGCACTGGAGACTCAGACATGCAATAAAACCACCATGACTCCCAGGTCAGCCTCACACAGGGAACTCAATGCCACAGTGAACACTACCTGTGTTAAATTTATTTTCCCATCTCTACAACAGAAACAGTCCTGGTTTTCCTTAGGAAGATAAATCATAACTGAGGTACAAAATGGCTCTTTGCAGGCTACAGAGATGCTTAGTGGGTGAGCACTTGCTATGGGAGTATGAGGACCTGAGTTAAGATCCCTAGAACCTAAATAAAACATGGTCTTTTTAAATAGACAAAAAACAACAACAACAACAACAACAACAACAACAAAACCTGGATCTGGTAGCATATATCTGTAATCCCAACAACCTTAAAAGGAGAAGGAGATGGAGATAAGAAAATAAGAAAATTCCCAGAATCTCACAGGCCATCCAACCTGGTGTACACAACAGTGAACAGCAAGAGAACCTTCCTTAAACAAGGTGGGAGGTGAAGGTGGAAATCCAAGACTGTCCATCTGACTTTCAATGGCATACGCATGCCCATAGTCATACTCTTAAACATGCATGCTAACTCATATACATATATACACTCACACACGCAATCATCTAACATACATATGCACATAAAAAGTAATAAATAAATAAATGAGTCCTTCCCTTGCCGTGGCTAACAGGGTCCATCATCAAATAAAAGTCCCTCCATGGGCCACTTGCAATTGTGCGCTGACAAAGAGAAAGCAGTTCTTTCTGTGGTGGTCCAAGGGAGAGAAAAGACTAAATCCCCTCCTATCGGGTTACTGAGCAATACAAACAGGACAAGCCAGCTGAGGTAAAGGTCTGTGGCCCAGGTTTCTGAGCCAGAGAGCAAAGCTTGACCTAACTGTCCCCACAGAGGGGAGCTTTCTGCACAGAAGAACCTTGTGGACGAGTTCTTCCCTCCCTGAGAAAGTCACTTTGCTTGCTGTATGTTTTCATCAGGCTCATTGTGACTAAAAACATCAGTGCGGGAGGGGCGGGTAAAGTGCTCGCCTTGCAAGCATGAAGACCCCAGTTCAACCTCCAAAACCCACATTAACAGATGCTGCTTCTGGGGGGCTGGAGAGATGGCTCAGTGACTGAGAGTACTGACTGCTCACATGGCAGCTCACACCAGTTTGCAACTTCATTTCCAGGAGATCTGATTTCCTCTTGAGACCTCTACAGGCACCAGGCACGCAGGTGGTGTGGTGCACATACATTCATCCAGGAAAAACATCTATACACATAAAATAAAAATTGTAATGTATAAAAAAAGTGCTGGGTATGGTAACACTGCTTTTTTATCCGAGGCTCAGTAGATGGAGGAAGGTGTATCCCTGGGACTTGCTGGCCTGCTGGCCTAGCTGAATCCATGAGATTCAGACCAATAAGAGACTTTGTCTCAAAAAAAATATGGTAGTGGACACCTAAAGAATGACAGCTGATGTTGTCTTCAGGCTTGCAGGCACATATACAAGCACACACACAAACTTAAATTTGGAAATCAAATTCTTCACTCAGTAGTAGATACACCCAAGGGATCTGGAGGAAAGTTTTCTGATAGCATCCAGATTTGATAGCAGGCAGCAACTTCAAGTCAAGCCAGTGAGTTAGTGTATCCTGTTCCATAACTGTGGCATTCCATGTACAGGTTCTCTTTGAAGACTGATGCATGCTCCTTCTGGGTTTTGCACATGCTAGAGGTTTAATGTTTTTCCAGAACATTCACAGATTCAAAGAATTGAAAAAGAAATCCCCATAAATGAAGCCACATATAAAGCAAATAAACACTGTTGTATCTCTGTGGAGGAGTGAACGGCTGCACTTCATTCACTGTGTGCATTGTTTTAGTTTGTCTCTGCTGTGAGTTTTAATAGTGTTTATTCCTCCTCATTTCAGGAATAGTTGCCCAAAAACATAAATTACATTTACCAAACAGGCTTTGTCAACACAGAAGCCCTTACACTTCTTCCCTTTGTTTTCTAGGCATTTGATCATCCTGTTTGGATCCCAAATAGGAAAAATAATCAATGGCTGATTTATTCCTATGGACAAGATGATTTGAAGTGGCTTCCATTCGTTGACAGAATGATCTGAGTGGAACTGTGTCCCGTTGATAAACTGTGATGAAATGTTATTCGTTGGATGTATAAAGTTAGAAGTCAAGAGAAATCATTGTGGCTTACAGGATGCTTCTTCAGCTGTCAGTCATTTCTTGGCATTTGATCATATCATTCTCTCTGTTCTCATCATATTGGATTCTGTTGTCTGTTATTAATTGAAGCATGACTTTCCTTTCAAAACTACATCGAAGAGCACAGACTATAGAAATGGAAGAAGTTTTGCTCTTACTTTTTCTGGCTTCTCAGCTGTCTGGTTCTCCCCTGAGTAGCCTTACTTCCTTATTGGTACACTTCAAATATCACAAACAAATATGCCCCACTTTCAAAGATGCTCTATATAAAAGGTAACTTCCTACAAGCTGACCTTATTCAATATCTCTTCCAATGGCCTCACGGAGATACAAACTTTACATTAAAAAAACCTTGCTATGAGTTAAGAGCCACTGAAAGGCACTGAGAAACGAAGACATGATGGTGCATCCCAGATGGCTACATTTCACCAGCATAATATTGAGAGAAAAAGGCCAGCACAAAGTACATGTACAGTGTGAGTCCATTCATACAAAGTTTAAAATAAAATGAGACTAATCATTCATGTTAGAAGTCAGAAGAATCACAACCCTTAGGTTTGGTGGCTGAGATGTCAGTAGTAGGAAAGGTTTTTTAAACATAGAAAGTTTATGCGTGGACTTGAGCAGTGTAGACTTCCTAGACACTCAGGCTCCATCGTTCCGTCCTGCCTTGGGGTCCACCTGCTCAGAAGACACTAATCTCAGAGCCTGCCTCTTTCCCCATGTATCCATTTGACCTTGACCTTCACTTCTCACATCCACACAGGAGTTTGTTGCAGGTGTTTGATGAGTGAATGAATGCTTAACAGATACACTCCACTTCTAAAAGAATTCCTAAACATATTGTACACATATGGAAGCTTTTATTACTACTACTATACAAGGCCATTTTCATGCCAAGTGGATAATATATTCTGAGCATATTCCTCCCCCCCAACACTTACATTGCGTGTATGTTATGTTGCAATAAAAATATACTAGCTATAAATATAATTAAGGACTACTTTGAAAGGTTTTCTGTCATTAACTGAGAAGAGGTGGAATTGAGGGGAAGCAACCACAGGCCATCTCTGGGTTCCTTTCAGGCATTGTTGAGTGAAGGTAGATGCAAAGATTATTAAACCATCCTTTGTGCATGATGGGTATTGTCTTGGAGCTGCTGGATTTGAAGTACTCACAAATCATGGAACCACGATCAAATTCAAAAAAGAACAAATGAGATGGGGAATATATTCAGGAGCTGTCAGTCTAGCAGTGACAGACAGGGAAGGTGGGATTGGCAACAGAAAAGGGTGCTGTGAGAAGAGGTGGGCTACAGAAGGAACAAGACAAGGACTCTGGACTATATATATCCGCCTCCATGGACATGGGCAGTGTAAACGTCCTGGACACTCAGCCTCCATTGCTTCGTCCTGCCTTCAAGTCCATCCTGCATAAAAGGAGGTGCTAATCTCAGAGCCTGCCTCTTTTCCCACTTATCCATTTGAATTTGACCTTCACTTTTCACATTCACACTGGACTTTCTTGCACGTGTTTGATGAGTGAATGGATACTTAACAGGTAGGTTCTGAATCATAACCCCATCATTAGGTTTTCAATAGATGTCACAGATGAATGCAATTAATTTGTGTGTGTGCTAGAAACATGGAGAAAACCATAAAACTAGGGAGGGGACTCAGTGGGTTAAGAAGTAAAGTTTTATATTAAGTTGAGACTAAGCCACATCATTGGGATAAAGACAGTTGCTAATTCTCCTTCTTACAATTCCCCATTCTCCTCCTCTCACTCTCAGTTCAGTTCAATAAATATACCCATAAAATAAGTTCTCTTTATTTCTATAGGCAGTCAATAATATTTGACAACAAGCAGGTCAGCAAAAATGCAGTTGTATCCACAATATGGAAATTACCAAAGAAAACCACTGTTTGTTTTGAAATAAATGCCTCTTCAAATCAATAATACATTGGAAAATTGATATTGACTACAATGTGTTTGTGGGTGGCTTTCAGCAGGGTTAGAAGGTTCACTGATTCCCTTTTCTTACCACAGTAAATTAGCAAGCACTTTATATAATAGTTAGAAGGCCCACATCTATCCCAGTTAAAATGGTAGAGGGGAGAGTGGTACCTGAAATCCAAAGAGAGTAATATTACCAACTATTTGCTAATTGATACTTTGGGTACTAGTGTTTTATCATTCATTGTTTTTTTTTAAAAAGTCACATAATTTAATGACAGTAACTACATTAAGGATTTAGTGCATATCCATGTCCACTTTCTATCTAGATCTGTACTATAGACTAAGTTCATTCAGAAGTGAGGCAAAATCATTGTATTAATTACTTTTCTCATCACTGGGATCAGATAGTTGACCAAAGCAACTTGAAGAAGGAAGCGCTTACTTTGGATCCTAGTTTAAAGAAATAAAGTCCACCATTGGGAGGCACAGCAGTAGGAGGAGGGGCGGCTGGTCACATTGTGTCCCAGTCAAAAAGAAGAAAAGGAAGAACTCTCACTTCCTCCTCTGCCCTAGTTAGGGTTTCTATTGCTAAAATGAAATACCATGGCCAAAAGCAAGCTGGGGAGGAAAGGGTTTATTTGGAGTATACTTCCACATCAAGTAGGGCTGGAATCTGGAGGCAGGAGCTGATACAAAGACCCTGGAGGGGTATGGCTTACTGGCTTGACCTCCATGGCTTGCTAACTCTGCCTTCCTATAGAACCCCAGGACCACAAGTCTAGAGGTATCCTCACCCACAATGGACTGGGCCCTCCCACCTCAATCACTAATTAAGAAAATGACCTGCAGGCTTGCCTACAATGTGATCTTATGGAGGCATTTTTCAGTTGAGGCTCCCTCTATCCCAAATTTAGCCTGTATCAAGCTGACATAAGATTAGCCAGCTTGCTCCTTTTTCCTCTATTCCATCCCAGCCCCAGCCCATGGAATGGTGCTTCCCCCTCTCAAAGTGGATCTTCCCTGCTCTGCTAAATCTCTCTGGAAACATCTGCACAGACACACCCAGTGATGTTTCTCCTAAGTGATCCCAAATCCAGTCCCGTTGACAAGGAAAAGTAACCATGCCAGTCATTCACCATGTTAGAACTTAATCTTAGTTGAAAGGGTTTAGATAACATTCATACTGACCACTTCATCTCCCAGATGAAGAAGTAAATACCCTCAGATTCAACAGCTCAGTTTTCCTGAATCCTAGTTTGGGGAACTTCAAACTATGGCATCGAATCTTTTTGTATGTGGAGTTTTCATACTGCATCAGATGAAACACACCAAAATTCACAACTGTGAATGCTAATGTATTTGTGCTTTGGGGTTCATGCTCTACAGAGATATGGTTCAGAGATAGGGTAGGCCCCTTGGAATTGTTGTAATATAACAGAAAACAAGAGTGACCAAAGGGTCATCAGTTCAAATGCCAGCTCTGCCACCTACTAAGAAAATGTTCTGGAATAAGCTACATAAGCCCCGGGAGATTCTACAGAAGTGAGGATTAAATGCCTTCCTTAGGGGAAGCTCCAGAGCAGAAATAAAATAATGCATAAAAAACAACTAAAAAAGTGCAGCCAACAGTGTGACAGTGGCGACACCTTCCCTTTCTTCTTTGCTTCCTGGGGAAGCCATCCGGAGGCTCACAGGGAACACAACGCTTTAATGAACCACGAGCTGTGTGCATGTTTTCTTTTTTTCCTTGGACAACAGTGTGTTGAGGTTTACCACCCCATACCCATGGCTGCCTCAAGCCCCAATCTGTGATTCCAAACTTCAGAATCATTGTTAACTTGATCCAGCTGTCCAGGCAGGAGATCTTTTGGATGCTCAATGGGATCCTCCTGTGGATCTCAATCCAGTAGACATCCAAACAACCATATACCAGGTCTCCCACATACTGCATGCAGCCCTGCAGACTGCCTAAAATGCAGATCAACAACACAAAAATCAAGGCCTCCACTGAGATTCGTATCTTTAATTCTTCTTTCTAAGATATAAAAAACTTCTTCAAGGAACCTTTGAGAAAATCTGCATGTCTTTCATTTATGCAAAGAACAGTCCCTTCAAAAATTAATGAACCAAGATGAAGCTCACTGACCGTACTGAGCTGCCTGCAGGAGATTTCTGCACCATGTGTGACTGTGCACTGACTTATCACTGTGGCCTGCGTCAGACAGACTCTGTTGCCAGGTCACCCTCGGAACTCTCTCTCTCTCTCTCTCTCTCTCTCTCTCTCTCTCTCTCTCTCTCTCTCTGAATAACAGAAACTTAGTAACAGCATAACTCTTCCCACGCTCTCTTTTCTTTTTTTTTTTTTCTTTTTTTTTTATTTTTTTTTTTTATTAATTTATTTTGCAATACAATTCAGTTCTACATATCAGCCACGGATTCCCTTGTTCTCCCCCCTCCCGTCCCCCTCACCTTCCCCCCAACCCCCCCCCCCATTCCCATCTCCTCCAGGGCAAAGCCTTCCCCACAGACTGAGGTCAACCTGGTAGACTCAGTCCAGGTAGGTCTAGTCCCCTCCTCCCAGGCCGAGCCAAACAATCCTGCATAGGCCCCAGGTTTCAAACAGCCAACTCATGCAATGACGCTCTCTTTTCTTGCTTACAGATATTTTCAAAGTAAAATCATCACCAAGGTAGTTCTTCTTCCCTAAAATTGCTGATAAGGAGACAAGACAGGGCAGGAGGAGGCTGGGTCTATAGCTCAGCCGGTAGAGTGCTTGTCTAACATGTACACAGCACTGGGTTTGATGTCCAGCACCACATAAACCAGTCATGGTAGTGTGTACCTGTACTCCCAGAACTCTGGAGAAGATAGGAGGATCAGACATTTAAGGACATCCTTGGCTACATGGAGTTCAAGACCAGCCTGGGATATAAGAGACCCTGGAGAGGGATCAAGAGAGAGTGGAAGAGGTGGGGTTGGAAGAGGCAATGCACAGAGGCCCAGGGAAATGCTAAGTACGTCCTACACCAAATTCAATCACCTCCCCACACTCACAGGTATGGAAAAACAGGAAAACAGGCCAACACACAAATCATAGCATACACAATTCTCTCACATACTGTTTCACACAGGAACATATTCATGTTTTTTTCCTACACACACACACACAGTGAGACCACCATGACCTTGCACTTCGTTGTGTCTACTCAAGTGTCTGCCCTCCTCTGTTTTTCCACTTTCAGTCTCCACAGCAGGACAGATTATAACTAGAATCAGAACAGAACGTTTCTTAACCAGCTGGACATTTGATCATGTAAGCCTCTTTTTTCCCCAGCTGCATAATGGGAGTAATAACAGTTTCTACCTGGCAGGGCTTTCATGAGGTTTAAGTGGAGTGATGTGTTTGAAATGTTTGGCAATTGCCTGCCAAACAGTTAATGTTGCAGAAATGATGTAGATATTAGAGTCCCACAATTTCCTATTGACAGACTCCTGAACTGGAGTGACTGAGGACTTTGAATCACACTTATCCATCCCACTTAGAAACAATATTCCTGCGGTCAGCTGCAGAAGTGGTGGTGTTTAGTTAGGTTCTGTCCCATTTGCCACTGGAGTTTTCTTTTTAAACAATTTTCATTAATTTACCACTAAGAAAACTGAAAATTCTTATGTTGAAGCCATTATGGTTCCAAGGATTTGGACAGGGAATTATAAACAAGGAATTGTAGACAGAATCACTATTACGATCTAGTTTTTGTAAAATAGGACAATGGGCTTTGTAATAATAACCAGTATACTACAATGACCTAGTAGTAAAGTGACCATTCTTGTTACCACCATTGCACCTATCCATTCTGCCCCTTAGTACACACATCCAGATGTGAGCTGTAAAGCTAAGACCACAGGTAGTTCACATATTGCTCACATCTTGTCTTCCACACCCCTTGTCTTGGTTTGCTTTCTGTTGCTGTGATAAACGCCATTTCCAAAAGCAACTTGCAAAGGGCTTATTTAGCTTACAAGTTATAATGTGTCCTCTAGGGAAGCAGAGGCTGGAACTCAAGGCAGGAACCTAAAGACAGAAACTAAAGCAGTGACCCTGGAGGAACCATACTACTGGCTTGCTCCCAGAGTCACATCCACCCCATTTCATATCCTTCCCAAGACCACCCGCCCAGAGATGACACCACTCACAGTAACCTGGGTGTTCTCCCATCGATCAACAATCAAGAAAAGGCCCTGCAAACATACCTATAGGCCAATCCAATGAAGGCAATTTTTCTACTGGGGTTCACACATCCCAGAGTCAAGTTGACAATCAAGATTAGTCATCACAGACGTGAAGTCACTTTGTTGTGGCATTATTTTTCCATCTCAGGAATAACTGCAACTTCTTACACTTCAACAAAAGAATGACTGTCTTGGCCATTAAACTTGGACTTGACCTTGCTTTTGGCCACAGACTTCCTGAGATGTTACAGCCATAATGAACAAACCTTCCCCTTGATGCCTCCAGTTCAGAATTCCATGTAAGGAAGACAATATTTCATAGATGACAGGGCTAAGGATGAGGTAGCATGTCTTCAAGTGTCCTATGGCCA